GGAAAAACAAATATACAGCTTGAAAATTTTATATAAATAAAACAAAAGTTCATAGGAAGACATTTCAAGATTTTTGGAAAACAGCTATAATAATTACTCACTAGTCTGCTGATCTCTTCCTGTCTGTCTGGGGCAGATCTGGCAGTTGCCTTTATCATGGTTGATGTCTGATTGTCTGTTAGCTTTTTGATACATCGCTGGCCTGCCACAATATTACACACCTGTATAGCAACAGAATTACAGATGGTATGTTACTGCTGAAATAAGAGGTATATGTGACAATACAACTGCAGTGAAGTTCCCAGACCCTTTACCTCAAGTGGTAAGTAAGTGTGTTTCTGTTCCTGTCCCACTTGGAGACAGGGAAGGTGAGGATATTTCAGCTGCAGACTGTACTTTTGCTTAAAATACTGAGCTACTGTACACTCCATAGCCTGTCCATTTTCTAACTGCAGAGGGAACCTATAAAAGATGCATACGTTTTGATTAAGCTTCACAAGAAAATGTTGATCTCTCCTTTTTTAAAAGTGATACAGAGCATGTATTCAGGGTGAAGGCCCCGAGATCACCCATTTTCAACCGTTATTAGTTTTATTTAATGTAAACTGTTAGGTATAAAATGTTTTGATAAAAGACAGAACTGAATTTATAGCAGCCGTGTTAAAAAAAGAGTGACCTTAGCTCAGGGGTGGGCAATTATTTTGGTTGGCAGGCCATTTAACGAGTTATAATGAACTGTTGAGGGCTGCACACAAAATATTTCAGAAGATACCATTTTAACAAATTATAGATTAAAAAATCATATACTAAAAAATAAAATCAAACATTTAATATAACATATTTTAGTTTTACTTCAAAAAATATTTTTTGTCCTGATTTATATTTTTTTGAGTAATGTATATAGAGGTGATTGCATAATAGCTCAAATAAAGTCTTACTCTTGTATATTATGTGAGGAGGGTGCGTGTGTGTGTGTAGGGGCTGCCTGCATACTAGGTCCTGGGAGCTGGCCTGAGGTGGGGGGACAAGGGTGCTTTCTGTCCCCACTCCCCGATCCAACCCACAACTGCCTCCATGACACACTGTATGGGGCCAAGCTCCACATGCAGCCCTCACTGCGCTCCCAGCTACACCAACCAAAGGCACTGCCCCAGCCCGCACATACAGCTTCCTAGCAGGGATGCTTTCACTGCTGCTGCAGCTGTCTGGGTACTGTCTGGCTCCCCCCACCGCCTCCAGGTGCCTCCCCTCGCCTCCTCTTCCTTCTGTCCCTGTTGTGCCACTCCAGGCAGGGGGTAGGGGGAACCCCCAGCCGATTGGCTCCAGCCCCAGTACACAGGGCTCCAGCTCCCGGCCACTTTGCACCCACTTGGCCATCCGCAGGTAACTGCTCGTCATGCTGGGTGGGCGCAAAGAATTCTGGAACTGAAGCCCCACATGCTGGGGCAGGAGCCACAAAACTGCAGCTTCCCCCCAACCCCTGGAGCGGCTCAGCAGGGACAGGAAGAGGAGGACCAATGCTGAAAGTGGAGGGGAGCCAAGCACTATCCAGGCGGCTGCAGCAGCAGCACTATGCATGCAGACCGGAGCCATCAGTGGGCATGGGGCAGGTATGGGCAGGAACAGGGCGTGAGCCGTTCCAGGCAGGGTTCAGCCCCATTCGGAGCACTGCAGGGGCAGCTACAGGCCAGATACAATCAACTAGTGGGCCAGATCCAACCTGCAGGCCACATTTTGCCCACCCCTGCTTTAGCTAGATATTTAAAAGCCAGTACACATCTTTAACAGTTAAATATGGTGGGAAAGTCAAGCTGCAGTCTAAGCCGACAGGCATTGTCCCAACTAGTTTAATGCATTCAGGAGTTACTTTAGAAGCTACATGAATATTTTAGCTCCTGAATCGGCTACCTTCATAAAAATGAATGCACTTTAGTTTTACTTTTACACTCTCTCTCACACGTAATTAAGACATTGTGTACGTACGTCTGATGGCTGGCTGGTCGCCTGGTAACATTGCAAACTCTGTATTTTCTCTTCATCTGACCACAGTGGGTCACTTCTACTTTTAGACCTGAGAGCCCAAGAAAGACACCAGATGTCATCAAATTATTATAATAAAATTAACTTTGAACTGCAAAAAAAAAAATAGGCCAGTGACAAGGAAAAGGCCAGCTTCTTGGATGCCCCCAGGCCATGAACTCTTTTGGTTAAGACAATGTAAACTGTCCACAGGGTTTCCAATATTTTGCAGAAGCAGATTTAAATCCAATATTTACCTCTGATTTCTTTGGTAAACTTGACACGCTGGGAATCTGTAAGAGGTTTGGTTTGTTCATTGATGTTCTGAATATCCAAGACCTCACACATGAACTCAATGATAGGTTGAGCACGATAAAATGCAGTTGCTGATACTGAGATGAAATAAGGAGAAGAAAAAAAAGAGGAGAGGATATTTAATTTTGATGAAAGAGGAAAACTCAGCTAGGGATTAAATATGGAAGTTCTTGCATACCATCAATATTGAGCATCATGTTCCACATGGCAGGCCTGACAGACTGGTGGAATCCAAACCAAACCTCCCTACCCCCACCCAGAGGGTGGTAGTAACCTTCTGGAGGAGAGAAGAAGGAGCGGCCCACAGGTGTGTATCTGATGAAACATGAAGAGTTAACACTTAAAAACATTCCCTTCGTTGTACTCCCTCAGCTTGTGAGGCATTCATTAAAGTCTTGTTGGAATCCCTGTTGCATCCAGCATTCCTTTTACACGCATTTCAACAGCATTTAAAAATTAACTAAAAGTTTCTATAGCATTCCGCCAACGTCAATTAATAGACGTGCACCGATACATTGGTCCCACATTGGATCGGCACTGATACAAGGAAAATTGACAGCATCAGCAATCGGCTTCTTTTGGCTGACATGGCCGATAATGTCACTGATAAATGCCCCTATGCGTGCGCGCAGCCACAGTGCAGCACGCAAGAGCACAGCTTGCCAACGTCCAGCTGGTAAGTCTGTTGAGGGGAAGAGGTCAGCTCGAGGCCCTCGCAATGAGGGTGGGAGTGGGACTGGGGTAGATGCTGCCCAGCCAGGGTGGGGCAGGATGTGGGACAGAGCCAGAAGCAGCTCATTGGGGGGTGGGGGGGCAGCTCCCGCTTCTGTGTGCACCGCTGGAGGGCATGGGGGGGCGGGGATGTGTGCCCCCAGATCTGCATGCACAGCAGGGCATGCTGATGCTGCAGGCTGGGCCTGCACTGGGCTCTTCCCAGCGGAGGGATGGGCCAGGCTGTGCGTAAGGTGGGCAGCAACACTGGGAGGGGGCTATGATGAATTTTGGGGTGGCTGCACCCCCTGCCCCAGTACTGCTGCCTCCTGCCTCAAGCACAGCCCAGCCCAACCCTCTGCCAGAAAGAGTCCAGCACCATCCCGGCCCCAGCCCGCAGCAGCAGCCCACCCTGCCCCATGCGCAGATTCAGGGGCATGCACCTCCCATGATGTGCACAGCAGTGGGAGTCTCTCCCCCACTCCCCAGACAAGCCACTCACAGCTCTGTCCTGCGCTCTGCCCTGGCTGGGCAGCACCTGCCACAGGGGCCTTGATCTGCCCCCCCACGCCCTTTCCTTCTCCCAACAAACAGACTTACCAGCCGGGCCAGGCTGCTCTCCAAGGTGCCAGGCCGCATATTGGCAATCGGATTGGTATCAGCCGATATAGCTCCTTAAAAAAAATAATAAAATCGGCCATCGGTATTGGCCCAAAAAATCTCTGTCGGTGCACCCCTATTAATTAAAGCTAACATATGAAGCACATCTGAATTCTACATATAAACAAGCTAGAAACGCCACCGAACATCACTGTCAGAACCACAGACAAGATCCACAAGGCTTGTGTTCACATGACACTTCCTCCTCTAATGCAAGTTTGTGTCAAAGTTAAAAAAACCACAACAGATCCCCTGAGAGCGGTGTAGTTTAGTTTGGAGGAGCGAGTCATTGTACTAATTGTAACAAATGGGCACAAGCCCATATCATTTAGGAAGAGCTCAATCAGTAGTACCCACCTCATAGAAGGAAGGTGTCGTGTAATTACATCAAGAGCCTGCACAGAGTCTTCGGGAACTTCATTCAAATGTCCAGCTAGAGCTTCCAAAAGCAGCTGAAGGCTGACCACTGACACCCACTGGATGGACACTTTAAATGTCTGATCCTTCCCCTCACCTGGAAGCGTGACCTCCATATCCACCTGAATAACCAGAGCAAGATTAAACACAAACTTATGAGAACACAATGAGTACCTTAGCCCAAGGCTATGGCACATTATTTATCTTGGTCTCGTAGACTTGCTTCGAGTGTACAGAACAGGCATCTCAACCAGGATGTGATAATTTAAGGGGCCTTTACAGTAAACAAACTTTGTTGTATAAAAAAATGTGACACTGCATGATTTAGTCCCTCCAGCACAGAGGCTCTGTTTATGTCAGCCTAAATTTCAAGTACACGTTCATATGGTGAGACCCAAAATCTTAAGCAACGATCAACATTTGTTTTTGACCCACAGTATCAGGAGTAGTAGGAAGCTGGCAGCACAGCAGGGACCTCCTGACCTCCTACAGGTACTTAAGACTTCAAAGAACTGGACTTTCTTTGGAGCTAGTCAACACCACGCTTTCATCAATACAGGAAGAAAAGATCAAAAGATAACTGACAGATGTAAAGCACTTTCCGTAGAGATTCAGAGTGGTACCCAATAAGTATTTTCATTAGCCCATACAGTGCACAGGACTCAGTTCTGCATCTGTATAATTTCTTATCTGACCCTCAGAGAGGATAGCAAACTGAATTCAGTTTCTGGAGACACTTGGCAATACACAGGTTTTACTCAAATCAGGACTTTTTTGGGATGCACTTCTGTTTGCCACATAGCTAAGAACTACTAAGACACCTTAAGAGTCTTTAGGTGCTGTTGAAATTAAAAAGTTGTAAATACAAGACTCTCAGGAAGGTGATAATCTGCAAACATTTAGTCTCATAAAGATCAACATTTAAAAGCAGTCCACCAATTGCCTTGGAAAAGATGTGAGAAAAACAAGAAACACTGGAAATATCTGGTAACTATTGATCCATACACTTTGTGCTCATGTTCCTTTTCCCTCTCTCGTTCTCGTTTAATCATTTCCTTTGTTGCCATTTCCCACATCAGATACAAGCATCATTAAAATAATTTTTTTTTTAAATTAAAACCAGGAAAAAAAATCATGCGAGTCCGTCACCCTGATCAGTTTGCTTGTATGTGTCACATGCCTGCTCCAACCTTAACCCTGGTTTTAGCATACTTTAGACCAGGGGTCAGCAACATTTTTGGGCGGAGTGCCCAAAACCCCTGCAACCTAGACTTGTAAGATGTTGGTTTGCCAGGGGCAAACCTGGCAGATGGCAGGAGAGCTGCAGGGGGCCTGATCCTTGCTGCGGCAGCATAGTCCTGGCCCCTTACCTGCCAGCTGCCCAAGGGGCACGTGCAACCACCACTGGCAATGGGCCAAGCTGGGCCTCCACAGACCCTGGCACAGCTGGTTACAGCCTCCCCAACACCTGTTGCAAGCAGCTTGGGCTCCATAGCTGGTACAAGGGGCTGCCCAGACCCCAGGCCAGCTGTGGTGTGTCAAGCTAAATGGCTTCACATGCTCCCTCTGGTATGCATGCCAGGGACTGTCAACCCCTGCTTTAAACTATGAACTTCTCAGAATATTGACTCTTTTCTAACATCTTTGCCCAATACCTAGAACACTGGAGCCCTAAAACCACTTGTGATTGCTACTATAATACAAGTATCAGAAAAGTTAGTATTAAGGAACTATTCAATCTTACAAAATCCAATATTAAGAAAAAAAGCTTCCATTAAAATCTGATCATTTCATGAAAACATTCCTTGATCTGCATTGAATTTTTTCCAAGGAATATTGGCAGCCTAAAAAGTTTAAAACATTAAAAAAATTAAATTATTTTCTTTATCCAAACTGACAAATGGAAAGAGTAAACCAGTAATATTAGATGATTCAAAGGCCTTACTGTTTTAATAAGTCACATTATTCACAACAGGGATACTTGAAAAATGACGACTTTGAACTTCAATGCCAAGTCGTGCTGTGTTAATTTAGCTGTTGCTAGAACATGCATGTGCCCTGGCAGCCATCGTTTATGGGATGTTAGGACATGCCCAATAAGACCAGTACCACCAGAACAGCACCCTTGCTGGCTACAACTGCCATGTAATTCAACAGCAAAGCATCTAACAGTACTGTCCTTTCTGTGGTTGTAACAACCTTTTAAGATCAAGGAAGTTCCTGTCATTAAATGCAATTTTGCTTTGCAGACTCAAGACCACACTACATACTGAAATTCACCTTGAGGCTGTAAACCAAATATAAGAGCTAGGGCTTAGAGAGATCCAAGAGAAAACAGAATGCAAATTCATAGACTACCCACCCACACCACTCCTACTGCCACTGAACATGGGTGTTTGAACTACAGTAACAAGTACAACAGAATCAGTATTTTAACCTTGTATAGATCCCAGCCCACCTTACAACGCCATGCAGCAGTCTCAATACAGCAATGTCTTAATATTTCTGCAAAGATTTCTTTTTTATGATAGTACTTACCCTGTCCCGCCCAATTGGCAATGGGTGTGCAGTATACATATTCCTTTTTCCATCGTATCCAGGCTGCCGATCACCAAATATCTGCATCTTGAAGTGTCTCACCATAGTATCCACTACCTCTCTAAGGAGAAAAGAATATATTTAGTTTATTTGGAGAACAGGAAAAAAAAAAATCAGCCATGTGCAAGCTCAATTATGGTAACTGGCCATATCTGCATTCTCTTCTAATCGGCAGCCTACTAGAGACGAAAGCCCACCTAACGTGACATATATCCAGATTACTAGAATATCCATTACACCTGAACAGAGACTATGGAACAATTACCTAGAGGAGATGTACATGCAGAACGGAGCATAAAACCATCCCAAGAATAAACAGCAGCTACCAGACTTCACTCTATGTTAAATGAGAAATGGAGGGGAAACAATGCTAGCTGGTCAGATGATCTGCTGCCTCAAGGCCAAGGTAGGACCGCTCCCTATTTTGCAGTGCTTCCCACTCCTACAGTCCAATTGTAAAAGCTTCAATATAGCTTTCTCCAACAAGAATATTGCATCACAGGTATTGTGAAATTAGGCGGCTACTACCTACGTAGCATATTTAAGATGAAAAGCATCTGAAGAAGTGCCAAAACAAAGTTTCTTTATGTTAGTGATTCTTAAGGTCTTAAGAGTCCATTCCTACCTGTTTACTCTTCGGGGCCGCTTTTCCGGTTTGATATCCACATCATAATGATAAACGTCAATTTTAGGGATCTGAACCTGAAAATGATTGGCTAAGAGGCGGATGGGTTTCCCAACAGTTCCCAGGCCGGGGCGACGGGGCGGCTGGAAGAGGCTTGCTGGAGGCCCTGTGGAAGTCAAAGAAATACAACTGAGATGTACTTGCAATGCAGTGGCCTCCCAACTGTGTACAGGCCTGTGATTTGATTGAAAAATCCTTGGGACGGGCTAAAGAGCACAGTCTGAAGTGGCTTAAACAGGTTGCAAATGAAAGTGCTCTGAGTGGCTCCATAGCTCTTTGAGAGCTCTAAATGATTTCCATGATGAGAAGAACAACATATGCCCAAAACATACACACTTTAGTGCTGTAATTCATCCTCAAAGTCCTAGTGACAGTTACTTCAAGACTGTGATTTATTAAGTTACCAGAGTCCTACGTGGGATTCAATGTATATATACATATGCACATATATACACACACACGTACAATAGATATACGTACTCTGCCTGCTAGTTACAGCACCGTTAGTCAACAGCAATAAAAGTTTATTTTACTGAACCCACTACAGGCTCTTAGGATTTCAGCAACTGCCATTCCTGGGCGCGTTCAAGTAACATCAGCCCAATTTTTATTTGAAAACAGATCCAACTTGGAATTTGAGAATATTATTATTTTTAAAAAGAAATGAAATGCGTGTATCTTTTTAGAAAGGACCAAATCGAAAATAAGCTTGTCATTTCCTTTATACTACATAAATAGTATATTTTTAATAATAAAATGCTAGTCAGCCTGATGAAAACTAAAGCCAATTTGAAACTGCAAGACAAGGATTGAAATGAAGAACAAACAGTGTTTTCCTACAACCAAGATGTAATGGCATGGCAAGAAGGCAAAGCTTTGTATTACAAGAAAATAGTCTCGTAGGGTTGGAGTGTTGCCATAGCCATCACGGTCCAGAAAACGTACGAGGCAAGAGTTGCGTGTGCTATCTTTTTATGAGATATTTGTGTTATTTAAAAAAAATAGTACCAAGACATCTTTAACAGAACTGGTCAAAGTAACATTTTACATTATGAAGTGTTTAGAAAACATTTATTAAAATTATTTCTACCAAAAAAATAGCAGAGGCTTACAGAAAAGACGCACATAAGTACTAACTAGCCGATGTAATCTTTGCTAATATTTTCAAGGTGCTAAAGTAAAACTGGAATTGTTATTTAAAAAAGCGGGGAAGCATTTAATTCAAAAATCACGTTTATATCATTATTATTCTTTTTAAGCTAGTAACACCTGACCTGGAAGGAACTGAACAAATCTCTTTTTCAGTATATCCTGTTCATTTGACAGCACTTAGTGTAGTCACACTAAAAACAGAAAGTTGGAAGGTAAAGCCACAAAAATGTTAGTTGGGACAGTTTAAGGCAAACTTGTGATCAGTATTGGCTTTAAAGGCTTTTTTTAACTGGATTTTAAATAAGAGCGTCCTTTTCAGTCAAAAGGCTGAAATACAGAAGTGCTAAATTAAACACAAAAAGGGGAGTAGGGCAAAGGGACGAAACAGAGGTGCAACCAAAAGATGTTTGTAATCAAAACTCAATTCCAGAACGCACTGACATTCGTTTTAGGGGCTCCCAAACCTTTACTAGAGCTACCAACGTAAGTGATAGATCTGAGAATATCAACGTCAGAACATTATGTACTAGTCATACTTAGAGGATGATGCACCAGGTATATATAGCCCATCCGATACATCCATTCTCCCAAGTTGTACAGAGCAGCACGCTGGCTTCTTTGTAGACAGCTAACATGCTACACACCATAGGCATCACACCTGCATGAACACTGGTTTGCATTTAATGACAGTGTGCAGTGCCATAGTTAAACTTAACAAAGATTGCTGCTGCTATTTAAAAAATACAGTTATCTTGACAAGTGTGAATCATCAAGGGCAATCAAAGTTTGCTGTTGCTTATTCGGATACTAGAGAGATGATCCATTAATCCTGTGCTAATTAGACTGAAGTAGCGTAGCTTTTGTGGGTGCTGACCGGCTCAAAGAGATTAAATGACAACTATATTTACCCGTTTGCCTTCTTTGGTATCAACAAGTTTTGTTAAGAAATGACAACAAAATGTCTTTGAGTGAGAGCCAAGCCAGGAATTAACAAATTAAATACCATTTTCCGGACAAAGTTAGGGCTTCACTACAATTTGTATAACTCACGACTGTAATTTGAATTTTGTCCATTCAACTTCAGTAGGATCTATTTGTATCTGCATCCCTTACACTGTTGCTTTAGCTTTCTTGCCATGTTGTCAACTGCAGTCCAACCAGCACACTTACCACAGACAGGAAGCATTTCTACACAAATAGAAGAGGACTTATTTCTGAAGTAGGAAGGTAGTGAATTTATGTTGCAGCCCTATTAATAGACTGCAAACATTCAAAATAACACCTCCACCAATCCATCTGCAAACAAACTCCCCTTATCCGGAATTCATGAGGATAGCTTTGGTGAAACGCCAGCCTTCTCCGGAAAACCACAAGTCAGAATTTGTAGATGTTTTGGCCTCCTGACAATGCAAATCTATTAGGGAAGGTATTTTGGAACTAATGTATACACTTCCTCACCAAAGCAAAGACATTTATCTTGCACACATTTTAATACTTAACCATTATTTCATGTAATATAATTTTCCAAATGGGGGGGGGGAGGGGAGGAAAATACGTTTAGCTGCAAAGTCAATTGTTTTTTGGGTTAAAGCCCAGGCACTTTTTAAATTTATAGTCTGAAGTTTCTTTTCATAGTGGCTCAGCTTCAAAAATAGACAGTGTTTATGTATGCAATATATTTCCAATAAGCCTGTACAGCATGTACGCTAGTTTTCTGAAATCCAAAAGCCTGTTTCTGCTACCAAACTGTTCCTCTTCCACAGCGTGACAGTTCCTTGGCTAAGGACTCCGGATGGTCTCTGCTACAGATCTCAGTGCAGACCGAATGTCTAGATTGACAGAAGTTTAGGGTTGGACGGGACCTTGGTGAGATCACTGGGTCCAGCCCCGCTGCTCTGGGCAGGAAAGACCGCTGGGGTCACGTAACCCCAGCGAGGCGTGCGTCTAGGCAGGGAGCCCCTGTGGCCGTTTGGGTGCCCCAGAGCACAGGAAGTCATCAGGGTTCACGTGAATCTGCTCGTGAAGTTTAGCAACCCGCTGAAGTTCCTCTTTAAAAAAATGACGACAGAGCATGGCTTGACGACACTTAGGTCCGGTTTGGCACCCAACCCACCTGACCCAGACACAGACCCACGGGTGAGCAGCCACAAATCTGCACCCACCTCCCCTGGACGCATCACTGAACGCGCCCATTGAATCAGAGGGCCCTGCCACACGTTACATATATCACGCAATTTGCTGGTGAACTGCACCACAAGTTTACACTGGCCGCGCATGCAAAGTAACTAGCACACATTTAACCGGCGAATCACCTAGCCCAGCCACGCGTGCCACGTCTGGACCACGCCATTCACTGCCTGCCCGCGCAATACACCAACCCGGCCACGCGGGCCACGTCACGACCGTCTCATTTGCTAGTCGACGGCCGGGCTAGGCACACTGCGCCACACGGGCCACGTCACGACCGTGCCATTTGCTACTTGACCGCACAACAAACCTGGCCACGCACGCCACGTCTGGATCGCACCATCCGCTGGTTGACCGCTCAATAAACCCCGCCTGGCCACGCGGGCCACGTCCCGAACGGCTTGACCACACGATACGCCTGGCCCGCCCGCACCTCGATCACGCCGCTCGTTGGGCGACCGCGTGACACGCCGGCCTGACCACGCGTGCCACGTCCCGAACGCGCCGCAAGGATATCGGTATCGCACAAC